ACCCCATACATGTAACACCCTATATTAACATCACTCCCAGTGCCCAATTGATAAGATGAAGCAAATCCTGTGTTCTGATTGGCTACTCAAGCAGGCAAGATGGGCCTTTCTTGCCTGCTTGGGATTGCCTGCATTGATCTTGCGCATGAAAAAAATAAAATTAGAACAACGATTGTAATTCTTGAACAATTTTGGCGATGGAAATGCAAAAAGCAGCAGAAGATAGTCTGAGCAAAGAAAACAGAAAGGACTTGTGAGTTTGTTGTGCTACAAACACAGTTGGCTTTCTTTCCTGGCTCTCAAAGTAAACAAGTCATTTCTTAATTCTTAAAATAGCCAAATCTTTTTTACAATATAATAATTCCTTTATTAACCAAGCTTGTTTGGTCAAGATGGCTGGATATTAGCCTTGTTTTTTTTTTTTTTTTGAGACTTTCGTCTCAGTCCATAGAAATGCAAAAAAAAGAAACTCGACCAATATCCAGCCATCTTGACCGAACAGGCTTGGTTGATAATGAATATGTATTCAGTAGACACTAACAAAAGCAAGTTGCAAATTAATTCTATCAAGTAATCTCTTTAAATAAAATTAATTCGGCCTTCAACAGACACTCCTTTTAGTGGCAATTGTGACTTGGAACCTTAGTTTACCCTCTAACTCCCATGATCTGATTGCTAATTCTCCCCTCTTGCTGCTACATATTTCCTTGTGAATTAGTTGGCAAAATTTCATGTGAGATCAACAGGGCTTGACACTTATAACAGTAGCCAACTAGCCACAGACTAGTAGAAATTCAGTTTTGGTGAATGGTTTTTTATTTCCGCCTGTCAGTTTGGCTAGCAAACAAACTGAAATTGTCGTGATATCTAAGTTGTCACTAGCCACTTGGCTAGTAAATTGAAAAGTTAGTGTCGAGCCCTAGATCAAGATAACAAGTTATACCTGATAAATTTGAATATTCTCATTACCTCCTTTGCTGAATAATGTATTGATTTTGTAAGGATTTAAAGCTACATCTTGATAATTTCCAGGAATCAAAAGGTTAATTAGAAAGTGCATTAAGAAATGAGAGTTTCACTTTTCCCTGATTACATTTTCAGATGACATGCCTTGACTTTGAATTTTCTTCTACTAAAAAATCTTCATACTATCTCTCCAAAACAACCAGATAGTGGAAACATTTCAACTCTCTTTGTTTATTGTGGAGTTAAACAATCAATAGCTGATTTGTCTGATTTACTGAACTTGTATTCACCTTTGAACTTTCAGAAGTAATTAGCTGAAACATTTCTCTCCTTCTAAAAAAGCAGCATGTTACAGAATAGTCATGCCCACAAAAAATCCCAAATGAATATGATAAATATTGCATCTGTCTGATCTTGTTGTCATGTTTCAGGTCTGGCATATGCATTGCTAGCATCACTTCCAGCTGTTACAGGACTGTACACAGCTTTTGTTCCTATTCTTGTTTATATGGCAATGGGGACATCCAGGCATATATCTTTAGGTAAAATACTAATTGTAAGCACAAGAAGTGTTAATTTAAATGATTTCAAAATTTCGAAAGAACAAAAACTGACATCTCTGTGCAAAGTCTGTAAACACTAAATGAGCATGTAAGACATAAGGTTTGATATGTATCCTAGTGGTCAATTTTCTGTTATCAAATATTCATTGTGATTGAAAGGTTCTGTATAACAGGTGTATAGATCCAAATGAAGAATGTAAAAGATTCCCAATTTTAAAAACTTATCAAAACCTTTTCTTTTCTCAAATGCTTATTAGGAACTTTAATTAATTAAATATAATTTTACAAAATAATGTTGATAGTTTTGAAATTAGAATCTAAATCATGATAATTTAATTATAGGAACATTTGCTGTGGTTTGTCTAATGGTTGGTCACGTTGTTGACAGAGAAGTAGAGCATTCTTTGTCACCCACGCCAACAGCACCAGCTACTACCAACCAGCCCCCTGGTGGCTCAACTGGTGTAGTATTACAGAATTCAATTTATAAGCATGAGTCTGATGGCAGTTCGCTGGATGAACAGGACTTGCTGGATGAAAAGAAGTTAGAAGTTGCCGTGGCACTTTCAATGCTTGTTGGTCTTCTACAGGTGGGATCCCTCTGAACAGATGGTTTATTTTGATTTGTTTGTTAGTGATAGTTTTAACCCACCTATAAACTTTTGTGTGATTTTATTGGCTTGTTTAAGTCATGTGGTGTAAAATCACAGGACACTTTTGCATAGAATGAAATTGAATGAAAGAGTTATGAAGGAAATAAACTCCTTCCTGGCTGGCTGGTATGTCTGCTATTAATTTCCTTGGCTGAGGGATTGTCCTCAATAATCTACATTTCCCGTGAAGCTTTGCTTCTTGGCCAATTATTTATTTTTTGGACAATCTCTCAAGCATGGACATTATTAGCTGACATACCAGCCACCTAAAGGGGTTTATTTACTAATAAATTAGTTTGATGTTCTTTTTATGTTCTCTTAAGTCTTTAATTACAGGTCACTTTTTTTTATTAAACAACTAGTCCCAGATACACCACTTCAAGCAAAATACAATAAAAGTACAATTAAAGACAGAACAATAAAAATGTAGAAAAAGTATAAATTACCTTAAAATTATTCAAAGTCAAGTTATTTCAGATCTAAATGATGATATTGGTTTCAATGTTTGTGTGAAATTATTTTAAGATTTAGCATTCCTCATCACTTCTGGCAAAGTGTATTATAGCTTTGCTGTGCAAAATCTCTAGGACCTAAGTCAATAAGTTGTCGAATTAACATTTGGCAAGTCCAGTTTTATTTGATTGATTTTCTTTGCAGCTTTTAATGGGTCTATTCAAGCTTGGTTTTGTGGCAGTTTATTTATCTGATCCTATCATTAGCGGTTTCACAACTGGTGCAGCAATTCTGGTTTTCACCAGTCAGGTGAAACACATCCTGGGATTAGAGGTTCCACGATATTCTGGAGCATTCGCTGTAGTTAAGGTTTGTATTCATCTTGAGCATTTGTTAAATATATTTTTCACCTTTGGAGGGAGGAGGTGTGAACCAACATAGAGATTTCATTATTGTTCAGTGAAGTAATTAATACATAAATTTACAATGTAACTGAGAAACTGTAAGGTTGGTTAAGATATCCATTCAGCTGACTAGCACTGAGGAGTCATCTTCATCACATTTATGTTTGTAGTAGGTAATGTTTTATCTGTGCAAGGACCTGGTAACAATAGTTTATAACATTACTATGCCCTTGAAAGGAACTGAGCAGGAGCAACATGGTAGAAAAGTGCTCAAAAGAAGACTCCCTTTTAATACTAACTCTCTTGTTCGTTTTGTTTGAATATATTTTTCTTTGCTTTCCTTAATGACTTTAATACATGTAATTTTGGAAACTTGAGGCTTATTTTGCTATTCTTATCACCCAATTACTTGACAAAATAAGTCTGTGATAACCCTCATTACTTTTTCATTTGAATGTGAAAATATTCAGTGGAAGGGAATGTGTAACAAGATCATTGATTGCTGCACCTGTAGGATTTACTAGTTTGATTTTTTGTTTGCTTGTTTTTCTGATATCTTATTTTTTTTTTGTTTCAGACCTATTTATTTATGTTCAAGAATATTACTCTTTCTGTACCAGGATCAGTTATCACTGGGGTTGTCTGTATCCTGATCCTGATTGCTCTGAAGTACATCAGTGAGAAGCTGAAGCACAAAATGAAATTTCCTATACCAGCTGAATTAATAGTGGTGAGTGAGTGTATCTTCTCCCAATAGTATCCATGCATTATCCAGTAAACAGGTAATGAGTGTATACAAAATTATCAAGTAGATTTTGTTATCTTGATCTGACACCAAATTCTCCTGAAAAAAAAAATTGCGCAGAATATAGCTCAATTGGTTAGTGCGCCGGATTGTTTTGTGCAGGAGGTCGAGGGTTCAAGGCCCGGTCAGACCAACACTCATGGTCTTAAAATAACTGAGGAGAATTTGCTACCTTTCTATAACAAGAAATGGATAGATATTCTTAGACTAGTCTTCTCGGATAAGGACGAATAAACCGTCTTAATAGCTTTGCCTTTAAAAGAAATTATAAAACCTTTCTATTATAAAGCCAATGATAACGGAAACAGCTCATACCCTATTCTCTTTAGCTTCTCGTCTTCTTTGAACAATGCAGCAGCAGTATATATAATTAGATTATTTTTACTCTCCTTCTTTTCTTCTTTTTCTTTTCTTTTCTTTTCTTTTTTCTTTTCTTTTTTTTCTCCTATTTTTCTTTTTTATTATAAATTCTAAATGTGGTATAATTATTATCGTGCTGTTTCAATAAGTCTAGTATTCATTCTATATATTTATATTAAGAACTATTCTCTTAATACCCTAATTTATTATTACCTCACACTTGCATCTTGGACCTCTCTATTACTTAAATGGGACAGTGACCAACATGAAAGCTACGGCCACTTTGGTCGCTGTGCACACATATACAAACCTGCATGATATCTACTTCTCATTATCTTCTTCACCTAGTTATATAAGTCATCTTATACTGTATTAATCAGGGCTGGGGGAATTATGCACTATTTTATGAGAAATTGTGCACCATTTTTTCTGTGATTATGCACCAAAGTTAGCAAATTATGCAAGTTGTGCAATATTAAAAGTATTGAATTTTACATACTAATAATTATTTTAAATTTATCTGTAAGTCCATGTTAAGAAAACCTAGTTATTTAACAATTATTCCACGAGCGCGCGTTGGATATGAGATGATAGATAGCCAACGAGGCGCGTAGTGCCGAGTTGGCTATAGTCATCTCATATCCAACAAGAGCGAGTGGAATAATTGTTTTATTAAAAACGTTAAATTAAGTTATTAAATTTTATTAAATTTTATTAAATTTTTAGCTCCCTTTTAATTTTAAGCTGACACGTACGCTTGCCATATTTGTAGATTATGGTATATTGGCTGATATACCATAATGGCTAAGCCAATAAAAAGTCTTGAATTGCATTATCCAATGATCTAGTTTTTAATAATAATAATTATTTGCCAGGATATTGCTTAACTCTCTCTTTGGCTGTTGTATTGTCTTTTTTTTCCTTTGGTTTGAAAAAACTTTCCATTTTAAACACGAAAAGAACAGAAAAGAAAGTTACTGTAATCAATTTACCAAAATGGCACCATTTTTCTTTTGGAAGCGTTGATTGGTTCTTTTTCTTCCAATCATATTGCTTGTAAGTCAACAATTAGAGCCCAGGTCTCCAG